TGAGTAAGTCATTGTCCATTGTTTGTTATCTGGGGGGAAAAATTTGATTAGTAAGCCTTATTCTGGATTCTATTTTTACATGTCAGACTTAAACATTGTCGCCCTGAGTACATCTTGTTTATTTTGTTTTTTAGTTACTGCTTATTGTTTTTTATAAATATTATTAATGATTTATTGCAAAGCAATTCTGATCAGTAAATTTGCTGATTTTTTTTTTCATAGCATTACTGAAATTAATTATCAGTGAGATGGTGTAGTGTAGACTCAGTACTATTAGTGAAATCTAGCATTGTATTTTCACATAGCATTTTAGGCTTCTGTTTTGAGATTTACATTCCATAATGGTTCTCACACACTGAAAAAAAAAATGTGAATATTTTGCATTCTTACATGAGTCAATAACTTGAGCATCTGTTGAGTAAAGTTTAGTTGCTCTGATTGCAGATGTTTTGCCATATGGCTTTTGTTTCCATTGTTGGATGATATTGTTAACCTACAGTCAAGAGTTGATATAAAAAAATCATTGTTGAAAGACAGCATTACCCATGATACCATTTGGCTTTTGAGCTGCAATTTCAAACCAACCAACCAGGGGTATTGATTCCATTACTTTTTTTGTAATTTCTCTAAATATATAACAGTCATAGATCGATATACTGGCTCTGAAATTGAGAAAGATTAGATAATAACCTGCACTGGGACGGTTGGTCAGATAATTGTCGGTGAGAACAAAGATTTTAATAGATTAAGTGACATACTACATGTAGTGTTACAAAATATTTTCTGTTTCTTTTTCATTTTTCCAGACAGCAGTATTTAAATGCCAAGAAGAAGATTTCTGCTCTTCATATATATTTTCTGTTTCTTTTTCATTTTTCCAGACAGCAGTATTTAAATGCCAAGAAGAAGATTTCTGCTCTTCATATATATTTTACCTGATGTTTTTTGATAAATGTTGTACTTGCTCATCTGCATAGGGGGAGAACATAGGGAGCAGACAAAACATTTTGCAAATGGAATATCATTTTTTATTACACGGTATAAAATAGCTGAAATTATAATATTTGGTGTATCGGCCTCAGTGAATTTAATGCATTGCAAAGATGATATTATTAATTTATACAACTTTCAGCATCGGCTTATTTTGATAATGGCAACAGAATGTCATCAAGTTTATTTGCATGGTTATATGTGGTTATTTGATGTTGAACTCTTACACACACTTTATGCTGACTTTTTTATAGCACCTATTAGGACATGTATCTTGTCATGCATATTTGCTCATAATATTTTTTTTTCAATATCTATCCCATACCCACCTAATTTTGAATAGTTTTCCAGATTACGAACTACATGCTATCTTTTTTTCCAGTTTATCTCCTTTTCAGTTTACCTTCTTTCAGTGTTACTATTATTGTGCAAGAAAAAAGGACTATTTTATTGGCTTTATTAAAAAAAGAAAAACTGCTTTAAATTGTACAATTAGTTATTGCCAACTTACACATTGTTGTTTCAAATAAGATATTTTATTGGAATAACCAGTTTTCTTTCTATTATTTCATATTATGTTGGCAAAATTGCTGATCATGCTCGTGTTTTCATATTGGAAATACAATTTTTGAGCACACATTTTCTGGAAATATTAAAAGTACAATTATTGTATTTTAATATTCGTTACCTTAATTGTTCATAAATTTTAATGAGCAGTTAATTGAATTCTAGATTGATTTATAAGTATATATCAAGTTGATTTCTTTTGATGTATTATCATTTGTTAAATTTGTACAAGACGTATTTTATGAAGTATGCATGTATTCTATTTATGAGATATTTTATAGGGAGCAGCAGCAACACAAATTAATTTGAGAGCACAATAAAGCAGTAAGTTCCTGTATGCATAATTAGTATGTTTATGATATTCATTTTTTTCGCACATAGCATAATTGTGTAACTGATGTAATTATCAGCACCCATTATTACATGTTATTATTTTTAGTGTCTTTTTATGTTATTTTAAATAATGTTGAAAATACAGGATGCTCAATAAAGCAATTTACCTATATGTTGGCTGCTTTATCAAATATTCTAGTGTGTTTTTAAGGGCATTGTGCAGGAACAGATATTCTAAAGACTTTTAAAAATGAAACTTTACTTCCAAGGCATTATATATTGTGGTGAACCAGTTCGTTCCTGTGATTTGGTACAGGATTGCTGCTGTGTAATTGGGAGAAAATGGAAGATTTACTAAAAATGCTGACAAAATCAGTAATGTGTTCTGTGTATCTGCTGCCATCCAGTGTCCATGCATTCAGACTCTTTTGTCTTGTATATGGTGTAATACTGGACTAAAATAGTAGTGTGCTCAACTATGGTCTCATGCCACTAATCAGCCATTTTATAAATGCCTTGCAAGAACCAATACAATTAAAGAAAAAAAAATTCTCGTGCGCCCTTTTTGAGGACGTGCATCAACTGGGTCAAAGGTGAGGCTAAAATGTGGTCTTTTGTTTATTACTCAGCGGCTGTGTACCTGTGGGTTTATTCTGTGTGTATTTAGATGTTTTAATCTTGGTGTTTTTTCAATGATTTCTCTAGGTGCAATCCAAATACAGTAGTTGTGTCTTGTTTACCTGAGATTTGCAAGAGTTTGAGCTGGCCAATATATTGGTTTTTATTATGTGGTTGATTACTGGCATGTTGATTTCCCAATTTTGAGCCATGTTTTAAACTTTGTTTATCATTTTCATATAGCAATCTCGTCATATGTTAACATTGTTGTCTATGCGTCATATGTTAACATTGTCTTCCAAGGAGTTTCAATTAGTGGTATGAGACCCTATGTGCTGCCACCCAGTGTTCATGCATTCAAACTCTTTTGTCTTGTATATGGTGCAATGCTGGACTAAATCAGTAGTGTATTCAACTATCTGCCACCACCCAGTGTCTATATATTCAAACTTTCTTCTTGTACATGTATATGGTGCTTTTCCCCAGAAAGATTTAATAATTCAGAATGAAAAAAATATAATATGTAAAATTATTTTGTTATTATTTTTAGTATTTATGCATAACAAATCATATTTATAATATTTAAAAAAACAACAATTGGAAGTGACCAGTTTGTGAGATATCCTTACTTGTGTTGGATTGCACTAAGCAAATGTAACAATGAATGAAAACAACTGAAACATAGTATTTAATCTGATCGAATAGCACGAGTGAACTGTTATCAAAAAATGAAAATAGTCTTGGTCATTTTTTCTGGTCGAAATCGCAGTTGAAATGGCAATGTTAAGTTCATGAAAACTAGTCGTGCTGATGTTGCAATGGTAACTATGTGAACTGCACACATCACATTGGATATAAGGATATAATGAATAACATTATTACAAATTGAAAAGTAATGATTATTAGACGTGTGCATGTGACGTAATCACAATAAAACAATTACTCCAAGGCATAAAAGCAGAACCAAGTACGATTTTTTACCATCCTGATGTGGGCGGCTCCGATAGTAAACACAATCACTAAAAAAAAGTTAAAGTGGAAGGGTCGACACCTGCGCACGCGCGGGAATTTGGTCCCAAGCGACGACGACAACGTACTACCGGTGGTATGCTAAAAACGCAAAGGCTCATGGGTAGACGCTTGTTTGTAAACAATGACACCATGAATATCTGACGCATGCGCAGATGACGACCCCCCCCCCCGCTTTAAAAGTTCTATTTCAGCTTGCAAAGTTGGGTCAGCCACCCCCTTTACCTAAATAGCATACGATTTGCATATTTTGTATAACCTTTATTATCGACTACATGACATTTATGTCATCTCTCGGTTATTATGTGTCAAACATCATATAAAAGTTAAGTAGTGTATACTTCAAATGTGCCCTTTATGAAATGAAATATCAGATGTACAGTATACATGTGTCGTTTATCAAAAGAGTTTGAAACAAACTCTGCATATTTTCATACGTTAAAGGTACCCCTTCATTGCACTAGTATTCAAAGTGTTCATCGTACTATTTGATTCCACATATAATAATGCAAACCATGTTTTAATCCCGACAGTTGGCTGTGGACAAAGTCTACATGTAGGTAATCTCATGTTCTAATTTTACAAAATCCACTGCAATCTCAAAAACAAAATCTTGATGGTTTTTACTGTAGTGTCGCCACCTGTCAATCGCATCTGCCCATTTTTGAATCAACAAACCGCACAACGTAATAGACTGATGCAGAATTTCACAATAAAGCAATTGGCGCAAATGGTGAGCACATAACTGAATAATTAACTAATATATTCTATTCTAATGACATCAATGCCCAAATTAGTGGTAAATAACACAATGTCGTCATAAATATAGTATAAGTATACGTAATTCGGGAAATTGGTTGTTTATTATTACATTTTCAGATCTGAAAAGCACTATCACGACCACATTTTCTATCCCAATGTATACGTGTAGAACTATTGTATTCATCGGTTGCCTCTAAGAGTTTTGAAGTCAAAGGAAATACA